TAATAATTAAAGGGTTTATATGAAAACTAGCTTTTACCCGCGGTTCGCTCGCGTCACAAAGGATAAAAAGAAGCCTATGCGACATATACCAATACACACAGCGCCATCTATACCAATACTTTTGTTTTCCGTCGGGAATATCAATTTTTTCAGGGATTAAAAGCCCTATTATTTAATCCAGACTTTCAACTTTACCTCTGCAAAAATTCAAAGCAATCGGTTTAGTAGTTACGGCGTGAAAGCGGAACAAACAAACAAACAAACTCACTTTCCCATTTATAATATTAGTTAGGAAGTAAGGATTAAATACATTCTCATTGTACTCCGAAACCATCGACTAGATTATAACGCCGCCGAGGGTCCTTAAAATTTGAATATTTGTTAGATGTAGCATTGCTGTGAACCCGAGACATGTCGTTAGTGTACAAAATGCAACTTACTGATCACTTCACCCAAGGTTTATTAAGAACACAGTCTAGGTGTTGTGATAGTCGTCCTCTCGACAGGGGGCGCGGGACGAGGAGGTCGGAGTCGACCCTGAGAAGGCAAGGGAGGATGCACAAGCGCTGTTCGATGCTGGGGAGGCCAAGTGGGGGACTGATGAGGAGGTCTTCAATAGGGTAAGTTGTCTTCGATCGGTACTAGTTTAACAAGAATTAGTAGATATTCTAATTAAGAATCCACTGTTTCCAAAAGTTTGTATTACTCTCGACCTTTAGCCGATTTGAGAATAATTAAATCGCAAAGAATCATATTTGATTTATAAGAATACAAAAATTTAAGTAAACCGCTTTTTGCAACCGTTTGCACTTTTAGGGTAAACAACAGTCCCAAAAACCTTGTTATTCTTTCCCAGTTACATTACCTTGCGTAAAAAACTGAATGTAACACTAAAATACTACTATGTTAAACTCCCTAATGTTACCGCGAATTCAAACCTTCATTCACACAGATCCTCGCCCACGAGAGCTTTGCCCAACTGAGCCAGATCTTCGAGGAGTACAAGAACATCTCCGGCCGTACCATCGAGCAAGCCATCAAGGCAGAGATTGGAGGAGAGCTGAAAGACGCGCTCTCTGCTATTGGTCAGTCACACTCATTTTTCAAATATTTCTGATTGTTAGATGGCGCTAGTAGGCATTTGAGGCTTGTACGAGCAGTGCGAGATATTTTTGTAATCGAGAAAAGTTGTTTAACGGGTTATGTTGCTTTGTTCCATTTACCTTCTACACACTATTCAAATTCGTTACTCTCTGAGTCACATGAGACAAACGACATACAATTATAAAAATATCCATTTTAAATTTTAAAACAAAAAGTACTGGTACATCAACCTTATGAATATGCAATCTTATTGCGTCTGAATAAGGTACGTTATTGTGCATGCTGTACTCAGTGTAGCAATTCATGGTAATTGGGACAATTACGTGAGTTTGTGTGTCACTTAACATGCGGCGGCAGGACGGAAGCTGTTCGTTTGACATTATTGTCATCGAATTTTAAAGTTAAGATTATGTAGAACCGCTACCAAGATATATTTTTTACTATGAAGGAATATCATACTATAATATAATGATGATATAATGAAGAAATCAATTCTTCATAATTTGCCGCTGGTTTTAGTGGTTCATAATCGTCAATTCTGAGTACGTCTGTTTAAGTCGGATCGAAATCAGAGGGGAGTCAGTAAATGTACATTTCTGCTTCAGAGAAGACCTGGAAAGGTGCGAAGTTATGTTATTGTCCTTACTTATCATGTTATGTCCATATCACAAAACGACTTGAAATGTGTTCCACTGCAGATGTTTAGATGAATATAAGACATTAGCATGTCTGAATATAACATGTGATGGTGGCGACCATATTTTGTCTCGGTAACCCATTTCTTGGCCGCACAAATATTTGCAGTGGAGTGTGTGGAAAGCGCGGCGGCTTGGTTCGCGACACGACTGCGGAAGGCGATGCAGGGACTCGGCACTGACGACCGGACGCTCATCCGGATCATAGTCAGCCGCTCAGAGATCGACCTCGGGGCCATCAAGGCGGAGTACGAGAGACTGTACGATAAGACCCTGGAGAGCGAGATCAGGGTACGTATAACGTGGCGTGTGTCTTGCAGTGGAGTGCGTGGAGAATGCGCCCGCCTGGTTCGCGGCCCGACTCCGCAACGCCATGCAGGGCGCCGGGACTTCGGACGAGGTCCTCGTCAGGGTCATCACCAGCCGCGCCGAGATAGACCTCGGCTCCATCAAGGCAGAGTACGAACGATTGTATGATAAGACCGTCCAGAGCGACCTCTCGGTATGTCTTGCTGTGTATCATACGGCCGGTGACGGACTTGTCTGCTTTTCAACTGACTTTGCACCTGTTTTTATCGCAGTGTATAAGATAGTGGCCATAAATAAGCAGTGTCTTAATTTTATTCTACGATCACTTCAGACTTGAAACGGTTGCAATGTTCGTCGTTACGTCTTTTATTTGCATAACTGGTTTTGGAAACAAAAAAGATTGTCTTATATTTCTTAGAAATCAAATTCTTCTACTACACGTGCAGACAAAGAATGTAAATATCTATATTATTATTTTTATGTTGTTGCCATGTGCGATAATATCAGGAATTTTCTGTCCGCTTAATGATAAATGTTAAAGTTTTATTTGCATACGTGCTTATTGTGTTTTCAAATGTCGTTATGGTTTAAAAAACATTTAATAAATTACGTACAATATATGAGACGTGTACGCAAAAACTAAAAAGAAACCTTTGTTGCATTCGTGTTCCTTAGAATCTTTAACATTATTAAAATAAGTACAAAAATAGATAACCATAAGAGGAAAATGAAAATAAAACCCTTTGGCAATCACGTTAAGAATCTTTTTTGCTTCCAAATAAAAATGTTCCCCAAGTCAATCACTGCCCTAAAATTATAAGCCGTAAGCTTGAAATTTGCACTGCACTCGCTAAACACTGCCTTTTATTATTTGCATTGAGAACGTACAAAATTGAACCTTAACAATATCTCTTGGACAATATAAACATAATATTTGTATTATTATATTATGCACGATACACTATGACACAGAATAATAGTTATGGTCTGGTCCCATCTCTATAATTGCTATAACTATATAAAACTTTTATATTTATTAGCAATATGTTTTTATAATATCTATCGTGAGACATACTAAATTAACTAAAATCGCGAGTTACTCACGTGAATATACTGAGAAAAGCTCTACTAGTTAGCGGTCGCCGCGACCGCGCACGCTGCTTATGAGAAAGATCCCCTCTGAGGTTCGAAACGAGTAGAGATCTTCTCAGTATATTTACGTGAGTAACCTATATAGATAAATATAATTTTATACTATTTATTTTATAATAGAAAATGTTCTTATTATCTGTTCTTACTCTTATTTAAACAACTTGCAAAAAAGGTTTACCTTTTCAAATATTTATTTAAAAAAAGGTAAAGGTTTGTGCACCTCCATCTATTCCTTCAGAGAATAATATTTTAAAAGAATTGTGAAGAGATGATAGCACATTTCAAAATCACTTTATTTCTTTAAACACATTCTAGGCATGAAAGTAATGCTTTACTCTTAACTCGGCATGGATTCTTCGTATAATTCTTTGTTTCTTGTATAAATTATTGATATGCGCTTTCAATGTTTAATTTTATGATTGAAATATCATTACTTTTATGTTGTATGTAATGTGGTTTAATATATTTCACATTTTCTGTAACTCTCTGCCACCCTGAATGGAAAGGAGGTGAGAACTATTTGTTATGAGAATATATTTATTAGAGAACGATAGATGCTTTATGGCTGTTGTAGCTAAAAGCATACCATAATTATCGTATACATTAAGTACCTATACTCTCTTATTATTCTTTGGAATCCAAGCAAATAACCCACAATTTCAAAGGCCCCTAACTACGTACATCAATTTTGGTTACGGGTCTCCAAAACCCACGCAAAATACTAATCTTGTCGCGTTTTCTCTTTCCGCACGCCGCATGCACATTGACGACACCAACCCCTCAACGCAACGCCATCTATTGCCGATCGACTGAACTACTTGTTAACGCCATGTTGGTTTTGCGACACGTCAGCAGGGTGAAACTTCTGGAGACTACAAGCGCGCCCTGGTGGCGCTGCTGGGACCTGTTTAAGTTCGAAGATGAGGACTTTTCCTGCAGGAAACAAGTAAATGGAGATCTAAAAAGTTTCCACCCCGGTTGAAAATTGGGATGTAACTCTGTTTGATCTAAATCGTAACAGAATCCTGTCAAATATAGGATAGATTGAGAAATCCTGAATAGTCTATCAATACTCGAATGTTTGTAATCTCTTCGTTTGGCTCTATAGACCTCCATTTATTTGAGAAACCTGAAAAATTAAGCTTCTGTGTCTTGTGCTGCTTAATTGTAGAATAAGTTACTTTATGTCAAATTGTCTTTTACGATAGTTTGCATATTAGCACCATGTTACATATTTTAACAATATTTATGTATTCGGTCTAATTGGACCTAAAACTCTGTAGTACATAATATTATGTTTAGTTTTAAAATATTAGTTTTAAGCTCTAATTTGCTGGTTTAGGTATACCTATCTTTTCGAAGAAACTGATTTTTATTGAATTGATTTAAGAAGTATCGAACATTATATTTTAATCGAATATTGAATTGTTAAAGAAGTATTATATTGATAAGTTGTTAAAAATAAATAAAATATTTATTACATATAATAGAATCTCCATTGTATTTGCCTAATAATTCTACATAATGACGATAACCCCCGAAGTATACGACTGATTTTACTAATCTGTGCAACGAATTTCGCTGCTGATCAATTTTGAACCTTATTTCCTACACAGTGAAGTTAAATAATGATCGGTTTGCGAATGTTAGCATATTATGTATGCTTATAATGCTTATTTTATTAGTAGTTATATTAGATCGATAGTACATTGAATGTTAGCACGCACTCCTGCCTTAGCAGTGCCTTTATTTCACGAAATAATATTTCAACAGAAAATTATTAATATTTTAATGTCCCAGGGACGAAAATTTAGAATTGTCAATTCGATTTGTAGCTTTACGCATTGTTGTTATTTAATTGGATATTTATTTATAAAGATGTTTATTATTTATCAGAGTTCCATTCCATTCGAATCGTTTATTTTGTAGCTTTAATTTACAAATAAAATATTAATGTGTATTCCGTGGTTTTATTTAAGGCATTGGCTGCCAATAAAAAACTGTTGAAGGCAAATCCTCCGCTAATGTCGGTCACCGGTGACTGCCATGGCGTTTAACGTGTTAAGGATTTGATCCTTTATCCTGCAACCATTTGTAATGATTACAATATTGAGCTGTGTTCGGATCTTACACATGGCATCATGGATTTTTCCAGATCCAAGCAGTCAATTGCATTGAAGTATACCCCTAACTCTTAAAAGATGACTTAGTAAACTATTAGTAGCAGATAGGAAATCTATACATTGTGTAATTTCGGAAATACTAGTTTAAAAATACATGATATTTGTTCCGAAGTATCCTGTACTCTATATTTATTTATAAGTGTTAAAAGTGGGTAGGAATCTATACATATAATTAAGTTGGAGTGTCTGTGTGTAATATTAGAAAGAGAGTGAGAGAGAAATAGCCGCTGAACTTTCTGTATCTCACGAGTCGATCCGTACCATTTTAACTAATCATTTGGGTATGAAACGTGTTGCTGCTCGGCTAGTCCCAAAAGATCTGAATTTTCTCCAAAAACTCAATCGCATGAAAGTCGCTGAGGACATGCTAGAACGAGTCAGTTCGGACCCAACATTCATCCAACAATCACCATATTCACCAGATATGGCTCCTGCTTACTTTTTTCTTTTTCCTAAACTCAAATTACCACTTCGAGGCACCCGTTTTCAATCGATAGAAGACATAAAGGAGAATTCGCGGCAAGAACTGAACTCAATTCCGGAAGCAGCGTTTAAAAAATGTTTTGATGAATGGATTATTCGTTGGCGCAAGTGTATCGTTTCTAAAGGAGCATACTTTGAAGGTGATAAAATAAATTTGGATGAATAACAGACATTTTGTGTATTATTGATCTTTTCCCGGTACTTTCTTGACAGAGTAGTATACACGATTGGGCTCGCTGCCATCGCAGCGGTAAGTCCCCTCTTTGAGGAGTGGCTTGAGAGACGCTACGGCGTCCTCACCTACCGCCTGACGCAGGTCCTCACCGGACATGGGAGTTTCGGGAGGTACCTGTGTCTGATGGGGCGGGAGGAAACGCCCGGGTGTCATCACTGCGAGGACCGCCCTGAGGACACGGTGGAACACACGGTGGGAGAATGCCCTTCGTGGGCTGAGCACCGCCGTGTCCTCAGGGAAGTGATCGGCGATGGCGACCTCTCGCGTCCGGGCCTAGTGCAGGCCATGATGCGGAGCGAGGGGGATTGGGATGCCGTCTCCTCCTTTTGCGAAGCAGTCATGCTAGCTAAGGAGGAGGCGGGACGCGTGAGGCAGCGAAGCGCTGCCTCCTCGCAACCCAGCCATCGCGAAGGACACACCGGGCGTCGGGGATCGCGGGACGATCTCCGGCCACCGTAAGCGCGGGCCTGCGGACGGCGAGCATGGGTGGCTCCCCGTCCGACCAGAAACAGACCCGAGCGTACGGCGCGTCGCGTTCCGCGCGCGCCTCAAAGAGCCATCAGACCACCACAGATGGGGCCCAATAGGGCCGATGCCGATTCGGAGTCGCGGAGAACCTAACGGGTAACCGGGGCTCCGGCTCGACGTGCAGGAGAAGGAACGGGGTGGTTTTTAGTCAGTAAGAGTCTGACACTCCCTCCCGCCTCACCCAGGCGGGAGCAGTCATTCGATGATTTTGCCGCAATAAAAAAAAAAAAAAAGTATACACGATAGGTATACATACCGAAAATTTTTACAATTTTGTCTGTCTGTTTGTTTGTATTGGTATAATGTCTATAATAGCTCAACCGATTATGTAAGACTTTTTTTGGCAGGTAGCTGATGTACTAAGGAGTAACATAGGCTGCTTTTATTTTGGAAAATTGAAACGAAAAAAATTTATGTTCTAAAAATCATATTACGATACGAACTACGCAGACCAAGTCCTGGGCAACAGCTAGTTAGAACTACTCCTGATTTCCGAATGACATTTAAGTTTCTATGAAAACGTAGCAGGTGTTATCAGGAATGTAGAAAATAAAGTTTAGAAAAAAACGGTACCTAAGTAATTATCATACTAGCCTTTAGGTCTGTCGCGGAGAACACAACGGGTAACCGGGGCTCCGGCTCGACGAGCAGGAGAAGGAACGGGGTGGTTTTTAGTCAATAAGAGTCTGACACTCCCTTCCACCTCACCCAGGCGGGAGCAGTCATTCGATGATTTTTCCCCCTTAAAAAGAACACAAAAGGCCTTTAGGTCTTCACCTATGACATTGCCGTTCTGCAGTAGGTACTGGCTATTTCAAATCAAAATATTTTTTGTTTGGCTAACAATTCTAATTTCAAAATCATGGTTATTTTCCAAAAGTAGTCATTTGTTTATTAATTAGTGTACATTTTCATCGCATTTCAATCTTTTTCGTTATCACAGATACGTTAAAAATTCGAGTAATTATGGAATACGAGTAGCGTCGTGGCAGCGTGGCACAACAACATCGGTGTGTAAGGAGCTAACACTACAAACCAACGCACCAACATCTGTTATTGGTTTGCTTGCTTCCGTTCTGGTAATTTCGACTTACAAAAAGAAACCTAGCTGTCGTCCGAAGACTTTGGTCGACAATTACGAATTAAAGGCGATTGTGGAAGTGTGGAAGAATACACCATCTAAAGCTGAATTAGCAGCAGCTTTCGAAGTTAGCGTCAAAACAATATTGTTCGATTTGCGTGAAATTGGCAAGGTAGAAAAGCTTGACAAATGGGCGCGAACACGAACTCAATGATCGCCAGCGCGAAGTACGCCTCCAGACGTGCCTTGAACTGCTCGACAGACACAGAATTTTCATTAAGTGTCTGTCGAAGTTGGTTGGATCCTGGTTCAGCACCTAAACAATGCCCTAAACGAAAACTTACCCCTAGAAAAGTAATGGTCACTGTTTGGTAGTCTAGCGCCAGTGTGATTCATCACAGCTTCTTACCAAACGGGATGAGTATTACTGCAGATGTGTACTGTGCTTCTGCACAGTCACACTTCAACTGAACACAATGATAGAGAAGTTGGCACATCTCCAACCAGCATTGGTCAATTGGTCTAGTCTCCGCTGCTCCTGCACGACAACGCGCGACCTCATACTTCACAGGAGACGGTCTCCAAGTTGCAAGAACTGGGGTTGAACTGAAAGCTCTCCGTCCACCGCCCTACCCACCAGACCTTGCGCCTACATACTACTAGATTTTCCAGAATTTGGATAACTTCTTGGTGGTAAAAAAGTCAATACCGAGAGACAGTACAAAAGCCTTTGAAGAATTTATTGCATCGGATTCCAGCTGATTTCTTTAAGAAGCATCAATAAATTGTCATTGCGTTGGCAAAGATGCATTAATTGCATGGGAATTTTCATACATTTCTATTATTATAAATGCGATAGTTTGTGAGGATGTATGTGTGTGTGTTTGTTACTCTTAAGCTGGGTACTCACTTAGCAGTGTAGCACGTAACGTAACAAATACGCCGTATCCGATACGGTATCAACCTGAAAGTGCGTACGGCTCGTACACGGTCCTCAGCGTATCTAGCTACGAGCTGCCGGATCCGTAGTGCTCGCAATCGCAACGAAGAGTCACGCCGACATGTCTGGTGGCTAGTGCTGCTTTCATATCGATGTATAACACACCTCTAACTTTATGTGTGTTTTCTCGCTGCATTGGGTTAGATTAGATGCCGACCCCAATATGATTGGGAATAATAGAGCTACGAGGAGGACCTATAATTAATGTTAATAACATTGTCATAGTTACGCATTTGTGAAAAATATTATTAAACGTTTCAAACCTTTACCAGTTCTATTACTTTTCTTTATTTCCATTCTCTCCGGTAGCAAGACAAAGTGATCAACTTATTTTTGAAGTTTTCTCCTGACGTACCTATACCCTGTCCAATAGTTTCCCAAGCATCCACTTTTAGATGTTTTTTGAAATAATTCTTATTACTGGAGTAATCTGGTAAATCTCAATTCGATTAAACGTTTTTTCTTCAGTCCACTCAATAATGAATAATTGAATAAGTACGTAAAGTGCGTTTGAAGTTCGCGCGTACGTTCTCAGCTCACTATAAAGCGGTCGTGACGCCGTCCACACACGCACGCACACTGCGAGCCGCCTTTGTGTTCGCAGCGGGTCGCGGCGAGCTTACATACAGCGCTCCACGACGTGGAGTCCACGTGCGAGCGGCTCGCAGCGGGCTCGTACCTACGTACTCACTTGATACCGTATCTGATACGTTACGTGCTTATACTGCTAAGTGAGTACCCAGCTTTACACGCAAAAACTACTGATCGGAATTAGATGAAATTTGGAACAGGTAGATTAACCCGTCGTGTGTTTAAACGTGGATCCACGTGAGACACAATGTATTTTGTATTGTGGCTCATATACGGGCATTCAAACGGTTAATATGGTCTGGGATAACACACAGGTCATTTATCGCAAAGCCGCTGGCCAAAGAGTACTACATAATACAAAAGAGATTTTTTTTTAAGCGGGGAAAATCTTCGAATGACTTCTCCCGCCTGGGTGAGGCGGGAGAGTGTCAGACTCTTATTGACTAAAAACCACCCCGTTCCTTCTCCTGCACGTCGAGTCGGAGCCCCGGTTACCCGTTAGGTTCTCCGCGACAAAAGAAAGAGATAGAGTACATTTTCATTGAAGTTAAACGTCATCTGCCTCGTAGTCAAGTGGTCGCAAGTGAGACTGCTGGGCAAGGGGTCTCGGGTTCGATACCCAGGTCAGGTGAAGTATTACTGGGTTTAAAAAATTCTCAGTAGTAGCACGGAGTCTGGAAATGTGCCCGGTATATGGGACTCATCCCTATTACATAGGACTCATAACATAAATACAGTAAAACGGGGTGAATAGATACAGGAATGGGGTGAATAAATGTTAGAATATTTTCCCAACATTTATTCACCCCTCTTCTGTATCTATTCACCCCGTTTTACGTAGTGAAAAGTGGGTGTTACATTGTACAGTGGCACGAGTGCCCTAATGTACACCTTTGCCTACCCCTCCGGGGATAAAAGGCGTGATTATTTTATATGTTAATTAAACGTCATTCAATAAACCGTTCAAGAATACTTCCTACCCAGGTTTTAACACACCTCTTACTGTTGTGAAGTTCTGGTATTTCAGAACAAATGTGTTGAATTTTGGTTGCAATTGATTACTAGATATTTTTAGTAAATGAAATACCTATAAGCAAAATATCTTCAATTCTGCAGATCTCAATCTGCTGTATTTGTCAATTGGAACTTATAATACGTGAGTGTAGACGGGAATAATAAATAGGAGCAGAAAAGGTATAAAGAAACAAGTGTGCATGTTCATAAAACTTATTTAATCGCACGCCATTCGCACGTTACAGCCATCCGTTAACTGATTCTAACATTACATTATAATATAATAATCATAATCATTATAAACATTCATAAAAATACTTGTAAACACATTTTTTTTTTTTTTTTTTTTTTTTTTTTTAAGGGGGGAAAATCATCGAATGACTGCCCCCGCCTGGGTGAGGCGGGAGGGAGTGTCAGACTCTTACTGACTAAAAACCACCCCGTTCCTTCTCCTGCACGTCGAGCCGGAGCCCCGGTTACCCGTTAGGTTCTCCGCGACTCCGAATCGGCATCGGCCCTATTGGGCCCCATCTGTGGTGGTATAAAGGCTCTTTGAGGCGCGCGCGGAACGCGACGCGCCGTACGCTCGGGTTGTAAACACATTAAGCTGTGAATGTAAGAAAATAAAATTTGATATTCGCAATCTCATATTTATATTGCATCTTGTTAACAAATAGGACCAGTTCACGAGCGCCTTCTTTGCAAAGCAATAATAGATATGTTCCTCTCTTCTACTCCTACAATATAACTTGTGATATTTATACAGTTTACATACAAGAACGTTTACAATATAACGGCAGTGAGAAATAAACCACGATTCACTGGGCACTAAGCAAAGATCCACAACGAATACTATGTCATCTGAGATACTTGCTCGCTCTATTATGCGCTACAGTACGCTAACAAGTGACCTGGCAACGTCGGCAAAACAAACGATATATACACAATTTCAACTCTAAACATTGAACAATCATACGTCGAATCACTAAAACTAATACGCGAAAGCAACAATATCTAAAGTAAATTTACACGAAATACATACACAATAACATCACATATTGACGTTACAGTATCAAAAATATTTGTTTACACTTAACTTTATAAGCCTCTTGATACACGTGCAGTAAGTCTAGCGCAGTACGACCAACATAAATGTGAACAAATAGATTTGACACGTAACTGATGCAGCTCGCTGCAGCTCGCCAGACGGCGAGCAGCGAGCCACCGCCCGCCAGTCAAGGCCGGCACACACGTACCTATCATAACGCGATACAAACAATCCGACAAACAATTAGGCTCAATCACATTCATATGGCCTGCATTTTTACAATTTATGACTTAGCTAGCCTTTGGCGTTACTATAAGACACGGCAATGCGTCCCGGTCCTAACTACAGCTAGCGCAGGTTGTGTAAAGCGGGCACTCGATGACAATATTACGTATTTACAAGTTGAGCAGGTGTAGGGCCGCCAGTATGAGTATTACGTCGAGCTCTGCACCGTACCGTGTACGCTAGTGCGCTACCCACTCGGTGTCGGCTTTACAAAACCTGTTCTAGTAGCGGTCGAGGTCTCATTTGTGCTACAATTCGACAATTTACAGTAACTTACGATAATTTTATACGCGCTCATATACTTTGTATGTTTGGGCGCGTCGCGGCCGAAATGAAACCTCTACATCGCATCATCGCAACTCCGAGTGCACTACGATAAACAGACAATTTCTGTAGTCAATGAAGCCTTAACGTAAGTAGTCCTGCGCGGGCTGCCAGCTCAGTCGTTGGGGCCGAAGAACTTCGCCAGCAACTGCGACAGCGGCATTATCTGCTCCTCGCCCAGCGCTGGTTGTTGCTCCGCCTTCGACTGCTCGCGGAGCTCTGCGGGAACATACTCACATTATTATACAGGTCTCATACACATGTGACAGAGATGCGAGACGCAGTTTAGTAAGGCGTCCAGTGTAGTATGTAAAACAATGTCCGCTACTGACCCTGCCAGTGCTGCAGCAGCCTGTTGTAATGGTTGGCGCGGTCGTGTCGCTTGAGTTGTGTGAAGACGTGCACGAGGCCGCGGTAGTCGTACTCCAGACCGGAGTAACGCTCGCCGAACAGCTTCAAGCCTGGAATATGTCAAAATAAAATTGTTTAAATTTAAGAAAATAAGATAATAATAAATATTAAACAAATGTCACCAATTTGGTGATGGCCACTTAGTGGTTGATTCTAAAATAGTTGAAAATTATTTTTTATAAACGAAATAATTATTAAGTAATTTATCAAATCAGTTTATCTTTGGAATGATCTATATTTTTACATCGTGGGACATTTTTGTCATCAATAATATTTGCATTTTAACTTACAAAAATAAAGTTTAAATTTAGTACCAACTCCAATCAATTTGAAATAAACCAAATATATAAAAATGTGATACTGACTGATAGAAATGGAGCGCAGATATAGTTTCTCGGCGGCGCAGTGCATGTTCATGTGGTAGTTGTAGAGCGAGGCGAGGTGGCCGATGCTCAGGCCCACCTCGTAGTCCTCGGGTCCCAGTAACTCTTCTTTAATGGCTATAGCCTTCAAGTGCATTGTTTCCGCGTCCTGGAAACCATGAACACAAATAATTAGTCTGTTCCAATCTACACCTTCTTTTTCTTTTCTTCTAGATCCTAGACGCCTTCTAAGGCGTGATGGATTTCACTTGTTTTTAAGATTATGTTTATGATTACTAGCTGTTAGGCACTTATTGATCTAACTTCAATAGCTTTCAAGCTGTAGGCCTACCTACTATATAGTTGAAAAATGAATAAATAAAAAAATATTATAACATTTTAAGTAGTATTAAAACAAACTTTTTGTTTTTATAGTATATAAGGTATAGAATATTTTTACACTATTAGTTACCTGGAACTTGTGCATGCTCTGGTAGAGCCTGCCGAGGTTGCCATAATGCTTGGCAGTCTGCACGTTCTTCTCCCCGAAGGCCATCATGGACAGCTCCAGCGCCGCCTTGTGCAGCGCCTCCGACTCCTCCAACAAACTGGGCGCTGGAAATATGCAGTAAATCATTATTTTCGTGTCACCACCCTGACTCTTCCCATAGCTGTCTTTAGACCCGACTATGATAAATATAAACCTTTAACACTGCTATCTCCAACCTTAGCTAATGTGGAGATGTAGAGGAGGTCTATTGATGACGATACTGATAACTATACTAACCCGCCATATCCTGTCCAGCAGGAGTATCGAGTGCTATTTCCTCGAGGATGAGCGCCTTCACCCGCTTGGCGGACGCCAGTAGTAGATGGTCTGGGGGCACCAAGTTCTGAAACGAACAATATGTAAACGTTTGTCAGTATAACTTTCTTAAGTGTCAAACACCAAGCGGTCACCGGTGACTGCAACCTATTGTTCTATAATTGTGTCTATAATGACGGTACTTGACGAGTTAAATGTGACATCATTAAGTTTTAGATATTCTGCGACTGTTTAGAAATGTAACAACAAACATTAAAAATCGCGCGTCATTTATTGTATCAACGAGATTTTTTAATGATATGGAGTTGAAAACATAACTGATGATGACTGATCTTATTTCACTTCATAACAACCACGAATAAATGTACTACTGTAATACTTTTAGCGTGTAAATTAAATGAATATCTTTCTTTCCTTAGATTAGTGAAGTATAGTATCAGTTTAGTACCTCAATGATCCGTATGGCCCGCTCAGCATGGTCCCTGGCCTTGTAGAACCGTCCGGAGGAGTACTCGAGTACATAGAGCGCGTAGGCGAGGTCCTCCTGCGCCGTCGCCACGTGCAGACTGCTGCGGCCGAACACGCGGCGCAGCGTGCAGAGTGCCTCCTGGAACATTACGGATTGCTTTTAGTAAAAAGTCGTTCTAATAGTCTTTGAATACGATATTTTGTAATCGTACTGAGAAATGATTTCTTAAGTAAATGGTAATAAAAGTAAATGCTAAAGGCAACGAGTATAAAACGAAAATTTTCAGTAAAATATCGGTAGCTAGATACCTCATTCATTTTGAAGTCGGTAAAAATATTGAATATTTCTATTTCGAAACAGTATCCATTATTATTCAGTCTTGATTTTTTCTGTGTACTATCTTACAGTTAATTTATATGATGTAAATATGCATCAAAAGGATAACAAATATATCAAATATAGACATACATAACCTAACGCCTGTTTCCAGTGGATAGGCAGAGACTATGGAATGGCAATTACTATGGAACAAATACACATATAATTAAGAACCAAAAAGAATGTTACCTCATAGACAGCGACGGAGTGCACGATCGAGTCAATGTTGAGCAGATAGAAGCCGAGGTCGAGCAGCGCGGCGGCGTACCGCGGGTGGTGCGGGCCGAAGGCGCGGCGGGCCAGCGCCACCGCCTGCCGCACCAGCAGCCCGGCCGACCCGAACCGCCGCTTCACCACGCACGCCTTGCCGCACGCGCGGAGCACCTCCACCGTGATCCTGCCGACCAGCGTTGTTATACACTCTGTTGTTATGTCAAATTAAATCTGTGTTCAAAAAAGAATGTACTTATTTGAACAGAGGTTTTGATTTTTCCTGTTCCTTTTTCGACTATTTCGACTGTTTGTATCTTACATAAAGTGAACACTATTATATGCTCTAATTTTGATTAGAATTCTTAATGAAAATCATTATCAAATTAACGTTTCTCATTAGTCATAATTGTTGGAAAGATTGTTTATGAGTCGTAAACAGAACCTGGACTTGTTTGTAAAAAAAAAGAAAAAACGGCTTGTTAACAAATTTTTGCATTGTCAACAACGGTGATTATATATATAAAGCCGTCTGAAGTCTGCTGAAATCTCCATTGTTTTTCATTTTACCACAGTAATTTCCAACAATAATATGCTTACTGAGCATAGTTAGCTTCGTTTATTTGAAAGTTGATACCACATCGCATGCACTATTGAAGAAAAGCTCTACTAATTTCAATTCACACCGAAACATGTAGTCATGTATGATCCAATAGTTGATTTAATTTAAAATGTAATATTAAAATGCGACATACTTAGGCGGCGTGTGTGGAGTGAGCAGTTTGAGCGCGCGCATGGCCCAGTCGTAGGCGGCGGAGTAGTCGCAGCGCACGAAGGCGAGCGCCGAGAACTCCTTGCACACGCGCGCCAGCAGCGACGTGGCGCCCCACGCGCCCGCGCCGCACCGCCCGCAGCACCCGCGGACCCACCACACCGAGTCGCATCTGTACGTGCAATGTTGCGTTACTGCCCGGGTTTACAACAACAAAGAGCATTTATTTGACTAAACGACCCTCACATACATAAGGTCCGAGTCTTTATCCTATGGTTATGGCGTTTTCTCAAGATCCAAAATGAAATTGAACACAATGTCTACCAGAATATTAGTTTACTGACACATAAAAAATATGCCGAAAATGTTTAGACCTTTTCAGTACTTATTCATTTAAGACTCAAACATTGTCTTAGTAAAAAAAACAACCTTAAATCTATACGCATAAAGCCTACTAAGATCTCCTTATAGTTTAAAATGCCAGCATTAAGTTGATCAAGTCCCGGTTCCAGCCTCCCAGTCACCGTGTCTTGGACCAGGGTTGCTGAGCCGGATACATGTTTTAGGCAGACACATCACACATGCTGTAAACACGTATCCCAGCGCAGCACCCACAGCCCTCCATTCCACCGAACGTCTCATATCTTCTTGTTCATAAATTATTATTATTATTATTATTATTTATATGACTACTTAGTCTTTGCAAAGTTAGTATTTATACTATCAAAAAGACCATACCTGAAGGCACATCTGATGCGTGGAAAAAGGTTAAATGTTAGTTTTGTGTATTTTGACTCATATTCAACTAAATGTATGCAAATATGTACCAGGTTTTAATAAATTCATTATATTAATATTCTGCAACCTGCCCTCAGTGGAAATAAAGTTTTTTAAATAACAGCATAAGTAGTTTTCGTCTATAATGCCAGTCAAGAAAATAATGAGAAATGTTTTTTCGTTTCAGTCCATAACTGTGATATAAATACATTTTGGAATCTAACCTTATAATGAAATAATTACAAATATAGACAAAGGTGCTTACTTATGTTCTGGATCATTAGGATCAATGCGTTCATCCTCAGCGGCTGCGAATGGTTCAGGCATCTCGGCGTGGACGTCATCGGGCATGCCCAGCAGGTCCAGCGCCAGGGCATACGTCTCCGCCGCTGCAGGGAAGCAGCAGTACGCCGACTGTGTGTTTAGTAACCTGGAAACAATGATAGATATTTGATAATTTAATTAAGATTTTGTAATCGATTTCTCCATTTTTATGTCGGAAGTCTTTCTTCATATCTTGTTAAGGTAGAGCAAAGGGTCCTCTACTCCTCTTCGACCTCTATGTTTAGTTCATTACCCAAAGATGTTTCAAGTCAAGTCAAGCTCTATATGTAGATGCAGTAATGTTGAGATTTTCGGCCTTTTTTAAAAAAACATACTTAAAAATGCTTAATTTTTATAATGTGTTAAGTTCAAGTACATTATCCTTATACTTGACCTATATGTATAGAGGCTCCTGCGCATAAACACAACATAACCTTTTCATAATTCATTGTGATTAGGCCTAAATCCTTTACAACATGTGTAAATGGCTCAGCTGCAACTTAACTATAAAAAAAAACAATTGGATACTTTCCTTAATAAAAAATAAATTATTTCGACTGTTCAATACAAAAAAATATTTCAAAAAATTACACTCTCATTAAATGATTTTATGACCAACTTAATTTAAGTATTTTCCCAGTGAATTAAAAAAAAATAAGTCAAAGTCACGTGACACGAAAACGTGACGTCACAATATACAATCTCGTACAAAATTCATAGTACACTGTCGTTTTTGACAGTTCTTAAAAAGTACTGAATTTGACTAGTTGGCAAGTACCGAATTTATATAATAAAATCACGGCAAGTAAACACGCTACCTTATTATATTACGCAAATACCGTTATAAATGAGTAGTAATTATATTGTGTGCATCGTTTATGCAAATGTGTGTACAATGTATGGTCCATTACCATAGAGCAGTGCTATTTTAACCTTCGTGCTGTATTATGGTAGGCTAGGAAGTAACATGTTTGTGTTTGAGCGATTTATTTATTATTTATTATTATATAAGTTCAAAGTATTAACCTAGCTTTGATTGGACTGGAGTACTAGTATCATGGTTTGAAGTCTAAATACTGACAGAGTACAATTTTAAGTATTGGTTAAATATTGTCTCTGTCATTTTACAAAGAATACGGTAGTTGACAACTAGTCAAATTCAATACTTCTACGGCCTCACAGAAAACCGACGTGAAGCAACGCTTGCGTTGTGTTTCGTCGTGTGAGTGAGGTTACCGGAGGCCCAATTACCCTCCCCTTCTCCAATCTTCCCAATTCCTGAATCCCCAACGATCCTCAAACTCCTAATCCCCAAAAAGCCGGTAACGCACTTGTAACGCCTTTGGTGTTCCAGGTGTCCATGGGCGACGCCGATTGCTTACCATCAGGTGATCCGTCTGCTCGTATACCGGCTTATGCCATAAAAAAAACTTTTATCGAAATGTCAAAAACTATACTTTTCTATGAAATTTGTACGAGATACCATCTTATGACGTCATCATATTTTCGCATCAAATAGCACACTTATATCTAAAAAAATGCAAGAATAAATCGAAAATTAAGTATATTCTGATGGTAAGCGATCAGCGCCGCCCATGGACACAGACCAGAGGAGTCACAGGTGCGTTGCCAGCCTTTTAAAAAGGAATACGCTCTTTTTTTAATTTCGTTATGTTGTTCTCTAAAATAAAGCTGAATATTCTCACCTATGACAGCATTCCAATGTGAGTCTCTTGTAGTGTGTGGTTTGCGGCATCTCCCGGCAGAGGTCGCGGCAACGCAGTAGCACGCGTTGTGCGTCTGCGTACCAACCGGCCTCGTTCAGGAATCCACCTGGAAAGAGATTAAATAGGTTAACTAAACATAATGCATTATAATTACAAAGAGATAGAGGTAGCAGATTTTCTTTACGTTAGTAACTTATCATTATTGCTTTTATATAGAATTATGTCGATGACAAGACATCATTATTTAACATTTATATTATAGTTTTATCCCCGACAAAACAGAGTAGCAGTGCGTTTATGGTGTTTAGTCTATTATTAAAAAGGTATCACCATTATGTCAAACATTAGTGTTTTACGCCAACCACCACTAGATGGCATAACTGAACTAATTAATTAAATTAGCAACCGTCGGAACTAGACTTGTTTAACGAAACGAAACACTGGATTAGCATTATGTCAGAGTATTTTTCAGTAATTCAAATGTGTATGATGTAACTATGTAAGCTGTAGTGGGCGTATAATGTTCGTGCAATTTTTAATGTGCCCGCTTCCTTGTGCCGGGGTACCGGCTGTGGGTAGCACTTGGTGTCGGATGTGTACTTAAAATTGATACATGACAGGATTCCTGGGTCATCTATCTATGTCTGTCTGGATATGCACTGGAATTTTTTACATCAGGATTACGGAATTACATACCAATAGCCTGTTTTAGACCTAAAAGTCTTAATAGAGCAGAACAGAAAACTTTAGTGCCATCTATGCATCCGACGCCTTTTTACGAAGTACCTTATTGTTAAAATTAGACATTTATTTAGGTATTCGTTACATTTCTCTTTTAACTTCCTTCATTTACTGTATCTCTAATGCTGGGGCCACACTAACGTTGAACGTAAACGTTCATTATCGCGATAATTAATAGAATTTCCCGTTAGTGTGGCCCCGGCTTTAGAGAAACAGAAATAATTCAATTGATAATAATGAATACTTATGCCTGTAAAAATCAGGTACATATAATTAAAGTATAATCGTCAGAATAGCCAGGTTGCTGTTTTCTACTCACCAAGTCTTAGCCCGAGATGTATGAGTGAGGCTCGGGTGTGGCACCGGCAGTCGCACTTAGCCAGGTAGCTGGTCGCCAGTTCGGTGGACAACTTGGATCCGTGCTCTATCACCGCCTGTGGACAACGTCATATTTTATATTAACCCACGGTACGGAACGTAGATATACGCGATATACAATGTGTTTTCTATTGTCTCATATAAGAGATAAGAGGTTAAATTAGTTTCATCTAATAGCACCACTTATAGGCGTTGAAAAGTAAAGATAGCTTATGGCTGCCTAAGCGTTTTTCAGAATTCTGTCTTAATCAGATTCTCTATCAAACGTCATATAGATTCAGACCAGTTTTATTCGTTCTATTTAAGTTCCCGATTTCATCTGACCGATAACTTTACCAAAATCTTTTTAATTTAGTGGCCACAGGACATTCAATTCATGTGAAACCAGTCACAATACTATGGTAAAATAGGCGCCATTAAGTAGGCCAATATCAGGGGTACTCGTAGAGTCTATAACAATATGGATGACATAACGACTGAATTGATGGTACCCGCGCACTCTATTTAGTTGACAATCGCTACAACTCCTAGGGTTGTCATTGTACAATACAATACAAAATAGGTACCTAAGACATATTTTATAAAATAATTTTTAGTACAGGCGGATTGACTCCCTTTATAGAATATCCCGTTTTCATTTAATCTGTCCAATGCGTAAATACGAAAAGTTAGTCTACCAGCTTATAATGAGGTCTCAATATTTAAAACCTAAGATGCTTGTGTTTTAGTGTATAAATTCTACACTAAAACGTAATTGCCGGAAGGGATCCAAGACCTCATCCGATGAAGTCACCTAAAGTGAGTGTACCTATCGTTCTGGAAATATCCGGGGTGATAATTATATTGTTTACTGTCAGGGATCACCGATGACAAGGTGGAAAACCCCAGATACAAGGATAATAATAGCAGATACAGTGATTCATTACAACTGACACGGTAAGATTAGACTGATTAATAGATTGGCGTGGTGGCATAAGACGGTGGAATATGAGTACCATGTCTTGTCTCATTATTGAAATTCAATGACTATCCGGAATCACTATTATAGCTTTTTTTGTTCATAGGATATGACAGGATATGAACCAAAAATGTGGAGACATTAAGTGATCCAGATGTCTGGAAAATTTGGTGTAACTTGGGTACAAGACGCCAAGGAATGCATTGCTAGAGATCTGGCAATGTTATTTTGATTCTTCGACAGTCATGAAAGGGGCGAACAACCAAAATCGATTAAAAACTTATTAGGTACTAATACTAGTATACCTTTATTTATAGAGCAATATTATGTAACAAGTAGCAATTAATAGTGATGCGTGGTAGCCCTGGCGCTCGTTGAAGCGTGCATCTCCGTGTGATGACTGTGATCTGATGAGTATGACATTGTGACGATACCGACGTAATCACAACACTGTTTACTACTCACTGCGATACGTGACTAGTCACAGATTTATCTAGAGACACTGTCATGTCATTGACTAGGGATGTATTTTAGGAGTATCGGTTTTAGAGTGCAATCAGTCATGTGATATGAATGAAGATTGATCTGTTATTGAATTATAAAATAATGGTAGGACCGGTAGAATGTTAATCTAAATATACTATACTATAATAGTGTCGTAATCTAGTAGCACAATGTTAACTTACTTGGAAACATTGTAGGAGCCTGAGCTGTGAGCCGGCGAACCGCATCAGACGCTCGAATGTGTCCAGCTCCGAGAGCTCAGCGCCCAGGATGCACAGCCTCTTCTCCTGTAGCATCTGCAACAAATTAAAACAGTATTTTAGTATTACGAAGGAATTTGAAATGGAACAAGAATAACAGATAATGTATTTGAATACCGTTTTGCTTTCCGAAGACGCAACGAATAGCTAATCTAACTACTGTGTTAAGTTTTATCATCGAATACTTATTTCTGTGGGTTATATTTTTCCTGATATTTCTACGGACTCGGGCCTATCTGTGTGGCATTTACAAACTCCGAAAGAGTGTAGAAATGCTATGAAAAACATAATTCAAATGAGAGAACAATGTACAAATCACTACTGGACAATGTAAAAGGTTCAGTGACATTAACAACCCAGCATAAATCCTACAAATGAGCTCAGAAGTGTACAATATCGTATATTTTGTAACACATACTATGTAAACAGATATACAATGTTTTGAAACAAAATACATAATAACAACAAAGTGTGAATCCCGTTGCCGACAGGCTCGCTCTATAACGCGCAATAAAACCAATGTCTTATGTCAACGAACGCGTTTCTCAAGACAAACATTGTAAAAACTGCTATGTTGTAGTTATACGCTCATTAGGCGTGGCTTTGGTAAAAGCGGAGAGCGGTTTAAAGTAATAGAAGGTTCAAGTTTTAGGAAATAAGTAGACGTTACATCAAGAGAAAGATTACATTTCCTCAATTTTCTTAAAGTTAAAACTGACAGATGTAAAATCACAAAATGTATATTTGTTAAAATATTGCAATAAATAGAAAATAGAACGCAAACTAGTTTGTATTCTCGCCACTGGTTGTGCTGTTTTTATTTGTATAAGCTATATATTTTTTTAATCTATGGCCATGTACGTTAGTGAATAATACGGTTAGATTGGAACTGGTCTCAGAAATAAAAAAACTTATTTGTAAAATATTACACAGTTTTACTCTAGAACCACATTTTCCTTCAATATTGAACTGAATGAAGATATAATATTTTGCCGATTCCAATTTGAAATTTTGAATAGTAACCAAACAGTTTGTACTCCACCAAAAGTAACTTCGCAACCTGTTACCCGCTATCCTCTATTTACTTATCCCACACAAAATATGACAATGTCGTGGATAACCAGACATTACTTCGCTACAATGTACCATACATTAAGTATGGTTCACGCACTACATTGTGTAGTTTTTTATTCGAACACACGTCTTAACGGATACCGCCTCACCTGCACTAGGTGCCCACTTAACAGGCTTCCCTTTTTTCTTTTATACTACAAACTACATAGTTGTATTCAATTCCGTTATTGCAGAACATGTCTAAAGAGCCTTTTAATGCCATACCTAATGAATGGGTAAATGGCAATTGTAAACTCTGCTTGTTTGTTCAACTTTAATCACTTTGTTTCTTGGTTAGTTTGTAGTTCTTTTTAACACTTCGGTTACCTGAACAACATACTCAACAACCTGCTTTTATTTGGTCAGTTTTCTCACTGTTTTGGTATATTTCGCTTGTTTCCATATTATTGTCCTTTCTCTTTTAAGATTAATATTATTTCTGTTATTGTTATAAGTATTTGTGTTTTATTTATGTTCTATGTACTATTCGTGCTAGTCTAGAATGGTCATATAGAAGATTCTTCTATCTTTTCTACAAAATTATAGTGATGTAGTGGATTCTATCAAACCTCTAAAATATTAACTCGTCGAGTACCGGTTTTGTAGACACAATTATAGAACAATAGGTTGCGGTCACCGGTGACCGCTTGGTGTTTGACAGTTTAATCGGTGTCTCAGAAGTCCAATCTACATAATAATCTCAACCTCAATAAAAGACAAAGTACAAGATTCCTTATTCCTACAAAGTTCGTCCCCACTTTGTAATTTATCGGCACAATCAGGGCGTTGTAGGTCAACTAAAATGTATGGCAGATTATCCAGTTATCCGGGCAAAACTATGTGATTTCCTTTACTCATACAAAGTAAATTTAACGCTTTCTTGGAACCTCACATGTAGAACAAAGTAAGTTAAAAGCTTTAGATTATGTTGCTGTGTAGTTGTATGACCTTACCTTCGTTTGTTTTGTAACTCGTAAGACATTGTCCGCTTGTCTTTTACGTGGCAACTTAGCCTGATCGCTAGTTTAGAATGTTGTAGAGATAAACGTGAGATGTGATGATAATCAGGACTTCAGGATTATGTTCCATTGACTTATTAGCCTATAAATGGACGCCGAAAACTAAAGGCGGAATGAACCTTGTGTCTCTTGGAGTGTAGAGGCAGTCAAAAGATATTTTCTATAAATCCCTAGGTCAATTGGAAAAATGGAAAGTTGGCAATAAGGCACCAGGCACATATGAAATTGTGTGCTAAGTTAGTGAGTAATATATTTAAAAACAATTGGTCTAAATATGTAACATGTGGTTCAATCATTGTATGCACGCGCAGTCATACATTTTCGCATACAATAGGTATAGTACCTGTGTATTTGTAATCTGTCACGTTCCTTTACCAAACGGGGTAAGCAGATATCAAATAGCTGGACGAAGAGTCAACAGCATGACTGAATTTAAACTGTCAAACACCAAGCGGTCACCGGTGACCGCAACCTATTGTTCTATAATTGTGTCTACAAAACCGGTACTCGACGAGTTAATTCGAAATCTATGTGACGTCACACATAGATATTAATATAAAATATTCTGTAAACAACAACACATTAACATAAAAAATGTATGCACATAAGAATGAAATATTAAAATTCATATTAAACAATGCTTTTTGAATTAAAATATAAGTAATAACGTCAATGGAAAGATGTGCGCATTGTTGACTGTACAATCAACCTCAGTTGAATAGCAGGCTTGTTGACTTCAGTCTTTATATTTACAGCTGTAAGAGCGATTTTCGCACAGAATATTATTGCTGTTACCCATACAACGGCATTGACTGCTGTGACTTTGGTTCAAAGACGAGTATAAAGAAAACGCAAATGAATACATGTCAATATGAATCCCTTATTATTTCCTTTGGTTTCGATGACGATCACGACGATAACTTAATAAATATTACTTGAAGAGTACTAAATGAACATTTGATGCGTCTCAAAATAAACTTAAAAAGTGAATATGATTTCATTTTGGCATCAAAATACTAAAATCACTACATATTATAAAACGAAGTCGCTATCCGCCGTCTGTCTGTCCCTATGTATGCCTAGATCTTTAAAACTACGCAACGAATTTTGATGCGGTTTCCTTTAATAGATAGAGTGATTCTTAAAGAAGGTTTATATGTATAATACATGAATATTGCACCCGTGCGAAGCCGGGGCGGGTCGCTAGTACTTTATACAAGCTTCTTGATCTTCAGCAACATCAACACCAGTTATCTAGTACAAGACGAGAAAAGCAAAGATAATTTGAATACATGTTGCAAATAATTAATTGAATGAATATTCATAGCTAACAATTAGTTACGACAGAACAATGTCCATCAGGTCATTGAATTCACAATAAATACATGCCAAATAATGGATGAGGTTAGAAAATAATTCGGTTTCGTTAAATAGAGAATAGTTAATTAGACTAATTAGGAGTATTACTCATCGATTAACGCATCAATGAGTGCTCGACTTTGACCTGGAGGAGTAACATTCAATTTCGCTGTTTACAAACAATAGTCGAAAAATTTCGTAATTGTAATTTTAGGTTTTAAGTTAAACAATAGTGATTTTGAACTTAAAACTTTTCTTTGTTTTAATTCAATGTTAGATATTATGAGTGATCTAAATCGAAATGTTCTATTTTCGAAATTAAGTTAATCTTAAATCGAATAATAAGGTCACCATCACTTAGTGGCCTTTGTGCATGGTTATTAAAAATTATTTTATAGGGGCTCTTCACAATACCTTAATTGCCATGGAAACAGCAATATTAGCAATCTGCAATCAGCAAAATCTAGAATGCATAGCGCACGAGTAACTCCTTAGCACTTTGATAAGCTAATTGTACTGACATTCCGCTAAGTTTGTATTGAACTACAATATTAAACAGATAGCGAGTTTTATGCTAGTTGTTTATGTTCATCAGTGGACTAATAGTAAAATGAATTCTAAAACTACTTTTCCACAACTACCATTTATGTAAGTCTAAAAAACATTCAAAATGCTTAACCTCATTAGCAATTTATAGGAATTTTATGGACAATGACGCAACAGCACTTAGGAATGGAATCTCTTCCGGAAAGTTAACGAACACAAGAAGGGCCATGATCGTGGCACACATTATAATTTCGACCCGAATACACAACCATGACCATGACACGGCTACCATTGGTCAGTCGGTCACAAATCCATTACAACACACACACACTTAGAAATAGGAACGACTCTGACATAACCGGTCATTTGATTGTTTTCATCTAAAACGCATCGATGTTTGTTCTACTTAGAAAATGTGTTACTATGTCACCGATAGTACGCTAACGTACCAAGCACCTAGTAAATAATAATATTAGATTACTCGCTTCTCGATCTCTTGATGTTGGCACTACTGAATTGACATCTTGAAATGCATATCGATGCCCTAATTGTCAGTTGGTAATAGAGATGGGCACTGGGAAAAAACCCAAAGGGAAAAAACCCAGGTTTTTTCCCATTTGGGAAAAAACCCGGTTTTTATGTGGGAAAAAACCCAATAGACGGGTATTTTCATTTATAATGATCTTATTCTATTTTTATTTTCAGAACTCAATAAATAGGTACTTTGTAATGCGTATATACCTACATTCACTCAAAAAAGTATCGGGAATGGATGATTTGTTTATGGTTCCAAATTCAAATTTTTGTTTTTATGTAGTTGTTAGATTGGCACAACTGTTTTCCATTTTGGCGCGGAGTTTGAGTTGCATCTGTTATTTATATTAAATACAGCGCTGGTTTCAGAAATATCATATATAATGTATATTGTGAATTTCATAATGGACACAAATATCGATCAAAGAGTTTGTCTTAAATTTTGCATCGTCAATGGAATTTCGT